GTTATCCCAGATTCTCCAGCAGCTGCAGTTCCTACTATCTCTTAACTTGAGCACCGATTTTTTGAGTCATCTTGATCATTTTCGATCTCTTCATTATTATCCTTCTGTAGCACAACAGCTATTTGAGCAAAGTCTGTTGATTGTGTTCACTCAGGGATAATAATATATACAAATTGTGGCAGTCTTTAGTTGTGCAGTGATGTCATTCTATGGCAGAAACATATCAATTAAATTCTGGAAAAAAAAATCAGAAAGAGTAATCCTTAGCAATGTAATATTTAAAGAAAAATGGACCTGCATTTATATAGTGCCCTTCAACACCACCAGCCATCCCAAAGTGCCTTTAATGCCAAATTAAGCATTTTGTTGAAGTGTTGGCATTGCAGAAATGTAGGAGAGGCAGTAGCCAATTGCACACAGCAAGCTCCCAATAACAGCAGTGTGGCATTGATATGACAACCTATCTTTTTTGGGGGTAAAAGAGTCAGTCAGTGCACCTGGCATCACTTCTTTGCTATTCTTCAAAATGTTGCCATGGGTTGTTTTATATCTACCTGAAAGGACAGATAGGCCTTGGTTCAACATTTCATCTGAAAGCTGGCACTTCTGCATTGTTGTGCTAAAATCAAGTGGTATTAGTTGATGGAACACTGAGGAGGATGACATTTCCAGAGCTCCAGTCCAGTTTTGAAAGTAAATTATGTGGAATATTCAATTTCCAGAATGGCTGTGTCCTGTGGCAAAATCATTATCATTAAAAAAAAAGTGGTATGCATCACTTAAAGGCATTTCTTGGATGTAAACATCAGAAGTAGGAAGATCATGAAATTCAGAGTGGCACCCATATTTTCCAAGTTATCTGTTTTTAAATTTACTGCTTTCCAGAGGAATATGAAGAAAATAATTTTGCAGTATCCGTTCCAGCTTTTACTCACGTATTTTTAAACAGTGACCCTCACATATGGGTCACTGTTTAAAAATAAGAAGTTTTCATTTAAGACAAAGATGAAGCTAATCATTTTCCCTCGGAGGCTTGGGAATCTTTAGAATGCCCTTTCTCAAAAGGCAATAAAAGTTGAAATTGAGATTTTTTGAGGGAGAGGTAATTAGAATGTTGCTAAGCAAGTGGGGTGAAATGCTATCAAGGTGGGATGGGATGTGGTGTAGATATCACGATGAGATCAGCCAAATTAGGGGCAAAGACCTAATGTCCGATGCATGGGCCTAAACCATATATTCATGTATAAGTGTCTCCCGAAGATGTACATTCCACGGAGCAGACCTAGTGATATTTCTGGTGCCATTCTTTGTTTTTTCAGTTCAAGTTGAATCAGTGGGATGGGTCAGCTACAAAAACACCAAGTTGACATCTATTTTCCATTTGCGGTGGAGAAAGAATTGGACATCAGCAAAGAGTTATGTCCTCACCCAAGCCAAAATTACTATTCATTCCTTCCAACCTCCCCTCCCAAACTCAGGCGATGATGGTGCTAAGCATTATCCCATTGGTAAGGCGAAATGAAAATGTTACTTTGTAAATGCAACTCCATCAATTTTAGATCCAGGTGAAGTGTTGAAAGGCTAATACAAGATCTTTAATTGTCAAAGTATTCTACCTACAGCATATGGGCCGCAGTAGTTCAAGGCAGCAGCTGACCACCACCTTCTCAAAGGCAATTCACGATGGGGAGTTTCTGGAGAAACACATACTTAAAAAAGCTGAAAGCTTCCTACACTGTTTAAATGATGTCCTACGGCTTTCTTTTAAGAACTGCTGATTAGCCCATTCAATTCCTGGTACAATTGGGTGAAGTGTGCATGTGTAGCCGAAAATTGCAAATCTGTGCAGAATTACAACCATTTTAGGTGGATAGGCTAACTCACAAAAATTACTGAAATTGCATTATGCCAATGTTGGGTATGAATTGGTGGCAATGTGCATTCACATCTTTCGATTGCTGGCCACCCATTTACAGGAGAGGAACGGGCAGGTGGCAGCTAAAAATCACCCCCTTTTCATCAAGGTTGACACTCCAGTGCAGTACTGAGGGAGCACTGTATTGGGAGAGGTACCATCTTTGAAGGAGACATTAAAGCAAGGAACCTGTCAGCTTGTGCAAATGAAAACTGACAATTTCAAAGAGGAACAACAGAGTTATACACTCATTAGGAACCAATGATAAGTATCAATAAACATCACGATAAAACTGATTATCTAGGTCATTTTCACACTGCTGTTTCTGGGAACCTGCTGTGCACAAATTGCCTGTCACATTATAACTGTGACTACACTTTAAAGTATTTTATTGATAAAAGGAGGCCTGTGATTGTGGAAGCCTCTATAAAATCCAAATCTCTTTTTCCCCACCATTTCCCACCAGGGTTTCTAACACCTGCATTGCTAAACCTATGGTCTAGTCCATGGCCCCCTCCAATCAATAAAACCCTCTCTCTCTGCCCTGGCCTGATCAAAAGTGTCACTTTCTCAATGGACAACCCTCCATATTCTTTGTTTTGAGTCTTAGTTTCTTTATAAAAATATTTTAAAATAGGACAATTAGGCCATTTACCTTATCTAAACTTGTCATACTTCATACTTCTTGCCCTCCAACTCACTTAGTCTAACTGCAAAGAGGCTGGTATTGTTATAAGTTATGCTACTCCTCAAATGAGGCTCAAAAGAAATTATTATTGATGTTCACAGAGCATTAAGAATACAACTATAACTGTGTGTGACAACAATAACTATTCTTGTTCAGTTACACATTTAGCACAAACATTTTGTAAAACTTTAGAAATTCACTGGAAAATTTGCACATAAATATTTTTAAGTTTGAGCAATTCACAGCTGACTAACACTGAATTCCGAGTAATCTCTCCCATTCTTTTATAACTTTCAGTAATTATGTGTCCTTTAGTGATATTAGTCTGTGATATGTATGTACATGTTATGGCTACCATTGCTGTTGTCATTGAAGCTATTACAATGGAAGTCCAAAGTAGGGAATCACCTGGATGGATATGGGAGTCATGAAGTATGGAAAGATGGGTGAAGGTAAGGAGGTAATTTACTCTAAACGGATAGTTATTATCAAGAATACTTACCACTATATTATTAACAATCTGTGAACTTCAAATAATGGGGCCTTCAAACCCTAATGTTTTGAGAAATAACATCATGTAAAGACCAGATCTTTTTATTTTTCCGTATTTTTGAATATGGACTTAAATAGGGAAAAGACTGTTTTTCCAAAAAAATTGTCAAAAGAATTGCCACATTTTATAAAATGTTTATTTGGCACTTGGTGTTGTTTACACTGCTGTTTGTTCAAGCAATGGAGGAAAATGTCTGGTTATACATGAGCTGGAACCAAGGGTTATGTACAAATAGACATTTGGCTGGCAACAATTGGCTGAGTGGTCTGGGAAATGGTAACCCAGTGTCAATGACAAAGATGTTCTGCCTGCCAACAACGTGATTGGTCCCCAGGGAGCTGAACAGCTAGGTAATGCGAATGTCTGGACAAGAAGCCATTGGACCTTTGGAAAGGAAATAGCTGTTTTTTCTCTGAAGTAAAGACAAGATGTTCAGAAGTACCAAATTCAATGTAGTTAGAATCCTGGATGTTCAAAGATTGAGAGAAGCATTTGTTGAAGAACAAGTGCCGAGGTCTATTTTTGAGACTTTATCTGTTCATTCAATGTATTTAACGATTAGCAGATTTTAACTAGTGGGTCATGTCGCATCCAGATATTGCTTGGAAATATTTTTGCTGCAATGTGTTTGGATGGAACTTGTCCTTTTGGAAGAATAGATTTAAGGGAAATAATTGAAATTGGACTAAGTTTTCTGTCAACAAGATTGGCAAACAAGAAAAAAAAACAAAAATACACATAACCAATTCAACAAAAGAAAACTGACAGAAAGACAAATGATAGTGACCAAATCAACAGATCTAGCAAATTTTTAGCAATGTAAGGAAAACTGGGATTAGGAAGTTTGGATGGCTTTGGCTAACAACTTGTTAAGGCAGCTTTAATGGGCTGATTGGCCCACTTTTATCACTCTTAAATGATGACACCCTAATACTCTTCAGTATTGGTGAAGAGACTGTATAAACTTTATACCACATTCTGCATTTTATGGAGCTAATCTCCTTGATTTCTCACACTTACTAACTGTGAAAATGATATTAGTAATTTTTTTTAACTGAGGTGAAATAGCTGTTATCAAGATGCACGTTCATGATGTCACAAAGTACAATATTCAATGTACACATTTTATTTTTTGCAACTAAACATAATATCTGAAAGTACAAAACATGTTTTGACATTAGGAGCTAACATTGTCATACGCAACATTTCCAAATCACCTTAACTAACCTATTTGATACAAGTCTTCTTTCATCAGATCACTAGGCCACTAAATATCAGCCAACTGTTTTGAGTTAGAAATTGTTCAGGAAATTTCTCCTTGCCCCTTATCCCCCTACCCCCAGGGATACAGGTAAAACCATTTTATTAAAAGTGCAGACAGATTGGGTTACGCCCAAGTCCCAAATCATTTTCTTGAATTCACTCGTGTAAATAACCATTCAAATTGTTGGAAATGGCAGATTTTATTTGAGATGCCATTTCCCATGACTGGGCAAGAATTCATAAGCATGGGTCATTTTTCTTTTCCACTTCTGTACATCTCTACACCAACATGTGCTAACACCTTTCAATCCAGTTTGCTGAAGAAAAGTAGAAAAACAGTATTGCAGAGACAGAGTATAATACTGTCATATTTTCAGCACATTTTTTACATGCTCTGTTATTGAATATTGTTCTATATTCTGTGCTACATTCCTTCACTGGTGAATAATGATGTTTTAAAAACTTCACAAATGCAATCAGCTTTAATGCTGGATCATTGAATCCAAATGCCTTCAGTTGCTGGTGCAAGACACTTCAAAAGGAAGCATTTCCTTCCACACTCGCTAATCAAAGTCATGAAATTCCAATTTCTGAAAAATTCAATATTTTCCCCTCTGCTACAGAGCTGTTGGTAATGAAATGGTTGCTAGAATGAATTCAACGTTTCCATGTTAGAGGCAAGCCCAATACGTTTTGTCAAATTAACTCTGGAGAATTCTTTCTACAGCAGTCAGCTTGAAAGAAAAGGATACCTAATGGAAAACTATTTCGGATATATAGATAACAGTCCAGTATTCTGAATTGCTTCCCATTTACTATAAGGCAAAATTCTTGATGCAAACCTGGTATTAAGCTTCAAAGATAAAATTTCATGCAATTTTACTAATTTGTTCAGTTCAGTAATGGCAGCCAAGTTTCACCTGACACTGCAGCCGATTGCTGAAGTTTAATCATATCTGCCTGTTATACAGTTGGTTCAAAATGTTTTGTTGCTATGGTAAAGTGCCATGTTTATCATGATTATACACTGAAGTAGACAATGATGTAATAATGCTATCATCCTATTCAGAGTGTCTGGAACTAGAATTTTTAAATCATAGTTTTAATAAAAAGCTAAAGTTCAAAAAACATATTTAGAATGCTTGCACCCATAGTTAATCGTTTTACATTGTGATCCAACATAATTCTAGAAACCTGGATCTTACTATTTGCTGAAGCAAGTAAACAGTTATCAAACAAAATATATATTTATTTACATTAAATTATATTGACATTTTAAACCAACAAATCCATACATGAAACTAAATCCTAGGTC